ATCCCACTGCTGGGGATATATCCAGAAGATTGGAAAACGTCAGGTTGAAGGGAAACCTGTACTCCCATGTTTACTGCAGCTCTGTTTACAATAGCTAGGTGACAGAACCAACCTCAATGTCCACTGATGGATGACTAGATAAGGAAAATGTGGTATATATACTCAATGGAATACTATTCAGCCATAAAAAAGAATGAAATTCTATCATTTGTAGCTATGTGGATGAGCCTGGAGAAAACTATTCTAAGTGAAACAACCCAGGTACAGAAAGAGAAATACTGCATGTTCTCACTCATAACTGGGAGCTGAATCCATAAATAAACACATGAACAATAAAGAGAGACAGAGAGAGAGAAAGAAAGAAACAACAATCACAGTAATACATTGAACTTTTAGAAAACTAGAGGTGGAAAAGGGGAGGGGGAGGGAGGGGGCTAATGAGGAACTATCAGTCAATGGACACAAAGAATGACTGTGTACTGTAGTGATGAATAAGCTAACTATACTGATCTAACCACCACACATTCTACACAATTATTAAAAATCAACATTGTACCCCACATGCATGTATAATAAAAAAAATAATAATAACAACGAACACAGTTAATGTATTTAAAAGAAAAAAAAAGTCACTGTGAGAGTAATCTGGAATTCTCTCATTATAGTTCTCCACTCGTTTTCTACAAACTCCACATTTTAAAACTAAGGACTGGACTTTCCCTAAAAACAGAATGAAATGGACATTATGATTACCATCGAGTCAACGAAGACTCATGAAATGAAGGAGAAAGAGAGAAAGTACAGGGAAGAAAACCAGAGGTGGTTTTCAAGGTTAGGCACAGTACAATACCTTCCCAAAACAGTCATGGCCTCCCCATCATCCTTGCAGTTCAACAGTTTGTCCACGTTTGCATCCAGCACAGCTAGGGCCAACTGAAAAATCACTTTGATTCCTTCATAGAAGAAACAGTCCACAACCACAACTGCACTCTCAAAGGGCATCACACTGAGAAATAGTGTGAGGAACCAAGACAGGGAGATGGTAGAAATCACACCCAGGTCCTGCATGCAGTCATACAGCTGTGGGACATAGTCTCTTGCTAATTCCTCGAAGACACCTTGGTCCACAAGCGCACCTGCAGAAGGGGTGGACATGAAAGGGCACATGTCAACCAACTACAACTTCCTACTAAAGAACCCAATTGAATGGCTTGACTGTAAAAACCCAGTTCACAATTATTACTGCTAACCAGAACTCTGTTCCTTTCTGATAACTGTTCTGCTGCTACTAGGTTACTAGACCAAGGTGTCAGTACAGCTCAATCGCCAGATTAGTTCTGGTTGCACCTTTTCTTTCTGGGGTCTTCCTGTCCTGTTTTCCCTACCATAAAAGAGCAATGACATGAAAACTATAACAGTTGCTGAAAAAGCCAGTTTACAAAGTTTTCATGACATACAATTAGTTATTTTGTTGGCAACATAATGTTTGGTTGGGCATAAAATGTATATTTAAGTAGTACCACGTGTACATTTAGCAGCTTACTTGTTACTCATTATATTTAGTAAAAAACAAAAACAAAAACAAAAAAATAAACTTCTTCTGGATGCATGGTCCCCACATACAAATCATTTTTTTAAACAATTGTTTTTTAAAACTTAAAATAAGCATTCCAGCTGTATACATTCATGATCAATTTACTGACAGTTTTGGAGAATATTTTTAATGAATCAAATTAGTGGAAATATAGACAGAACACAAGAGGGAAGCATAAAGCATGCTTTGAACTATATTACCGAAGAAGCTTGTCCTGCTGAAATGAATGTCTGATACTTGAGGGGACTGTACAGAGTTAACAGCAGCAATTTGTTTAAATGCTCACAATAGGTGTTTGCTTTACAATGAACCAGGTCTGAAAATACCTTAGAAATTTAGCTTTGGATAAACTTTTACATGCTATGTATGTTCTCACTCCAGATAGCTGTTTTAAAAAAATATCTCTGCTTTCCATAGATTCCGTCCTCTTCATTAAAGAATGTTTTTGTTAAATCCCTTTGTGTTGATGGTTGATGTACCTGGTACAGCTCTTCCCAAGTGACACCCACCTCAAATGATTTCTAAAATAATTTCTCTAACGGCGATTCATGTATATTCTTTTAAGCTCCATGGGGCTCCTTTGTGTACAACCTCTATTTATTTAAGCCCTCTCACTTCCATTTTGGAAGACTGGAGGACAGAAGGTCTCCGACTTGCAATGGTTCAACTTAGGATGGTTTGATTTACAATTTTTTGACTTGATGATGGTGGAAAAGTGACACGCACTCAGTAGAAACTGTTATTCGAGTGACCATACAACCATTCTGTTTTTCACTTTCAGTACAGTATTCAATAAATTATATGAGATATTCAACACTTTATTATAAAATAGGCTTTGTGTTAGAT